GTAGAAGTAGAAGTAGAAGTAGAAGTAGAAGTAGAAGTAGAAGTAGAAGTAGAAGAAGTAGAAATAGAGAAGAGAAACAAAACAAGTAAGAACGTTGCAGTCGGGCGTTACCGACTGCGGAATACTCATTCACCCCCATCACCCCACCAGCAATTTAGTAGCCATCTCGATTTGCCATTGAAAGTAAATTGAAAAAAAAAAAAAAATAAACAAGTAAAAGTCAGAAGGCAGAAGAGAAGCTTTGAGAGCTTATCGGGATATGATTAGATGGACGCTGGGCTCCATTTACTGCTAATCACATGCATGCACATATATTATACAATTTTTACTAAATGATAACGATTCGGTACTTTTAAAAAATATATAGCATATGTATAATATATGAATTGTAAACGTGTGTAAACGTGTAAAAATCTAGTTAAATTAGAAGTGAATGCAATAATCGCTTAGAACATCAACTTTTTCTTCTGAGGCAAAAAGTTGGTGCGAACTGTCGTTTCGACCAATTTACGTTTGAGTGCGGGCCTCTCGTGGTTGGCGCCCTCCTTGAGGGCCAATATGGAGGATGGCATGGGCAGCTTGGGGCCAACGGTGGGCGCGGGCTTATTGCGAAAATAGGGCATGCTCAGCGCCTCCCGGCACGAGCAGCGCCTGAGGGGATTCATGGCAAAAAGGCGCCGCATCAGTGTGATCATATCATTGCCGGCGGCTGTGAAGATGTTCGGCAGGGGTGTGCCCACAAAGTGTCTGAACTGCAGATAGTCGTGCAGTTTAGTGATATACGGCCATTCGGCTTCTGTGGGTGTACCCAAGACGCTGAATATGCGCGTCAACTGATCCAGATCTGAGTCGCCGGGCAGAAAGGGTACACGCAACATCAGCTCAGCCAGTATGCAGCCAACGGCCCACATGTCCACACCGGTTCCATACTGACGGGCACCAAAGAGCAGCTCCGGCGAGCGATACCAGCGAGTGACCACATGGTGGGTATAGATGCGATTGGGCGATCCAAAACTCTTGGCTAGACCGAAATCACCGATTTTTAAGACGCCATCGCTGTTCACTAGTAAATTATTGGGCTTAAGATCACGATGCAGGATCCAATTGACGTGCAGATATTCGAGGCCGCGAAGCGTCATGATCGCATATGCCTTGATGTTCGCCTGTGTGAGTATGATTTTGGTGTCCTTGATGATGACCTCAAGGTCAGTGTCCATGAAATCAAAGACAAGCGATACATTCGACAGCTGGCCAAAGACATCGACGAGTCCAATGATGTTCTCGTGCTGCAGCTCTTGCAGTAACTTAATTTCGCGCAATGCTGTACGATTGATGCCATCGCGTGCCTCTTCACGGCTGCCCTTCTTAATCTTCTTAACGGCCACAATTTGGCTGGTGACGGTGTCGCGCGCCTTGTACACAATGGCGAACTACAACAAAATGATAGTTAACTTCACATGTGCGTATATTCAAAATGCATATATTTGGGATTGCCTACCTGGCCCTCGCCAAGAAAGGACAGCTTGGCATAGCGATCCTTTTTGTCATCGCCCAGTGGCAGCATTTGAGCGTTTATTCATATAATATAATACAACAAACGTTAAGTTGCGGAATTCGCCCAGCGAACTGGCGAATACGCTACCAGTTTGTTAGCAGTTTGTGAAATTATATCGATAAGCCGCATTATGGCGATGATTCGAATTATACCGATGTGCCGGTTTGTAGCGATTGCCCAAATTGCATCGATGTGTCATATCGATAGGCATGTACCAATTGCTATCGAAAATTAGTGCAAAAAGCACGGTCGCAATGAAGCGGCCACTGAAAAGTCTGCACATCGATATGTTAAGTCGGCATGACTGCCTAATTAATCCATAATAGAAGCAATACCGCAGTCATTTGTGTCCGTGCTGTTGAAAGAAACATTAAGTTCGTGTTCTCTTTGCTAATTGTTGAAACAGAAAGAAGGCCCGCATGTAAGTAAACCGAAAATCAGCTATAAACGTTAGGAAGTGTTTTGTAAATGACATACAGTGGAATTTTCGCAAAGCTTCTCGAAAGGCATTTGATGACGCCGTCGTGAAAACTATCGGTGTATGATGGTCTGGGGATTCTCTCTGCCTACATGTATTCATTTCAATTCAATTGAACATTCATATCTGCGTGTGTGCATGCATGCACATGCATAATTACCTAAATAACACTCGAGCTCGCCCATTTGCAGAAACTGCTACTAGCCAACTTACTATTTGGCTAGAGTTTGAATTTTTGTTTGTTTAGAAGGCCGGCGACACGACGTGGTGAAGCCGCGTGCACTTAGCTCAGATTCGGAACTTTGTGGGCCATCCCAATGTGTACCACATTGAGACGTATTCACATTTACAGCAAGAGTGAACAAACATCATTACGCATAATTTGTTCATTTGCAAACGCCAAATGTCTGATATACTCGAAAGAGTAACCCAGCAAATAATTGAGGTTAAAAACGAAAACGAAAATTTTGCGTCATGTTTCAGACTAGCGCGTGTATTGGCGTCTGTCAGCCGTATGTGTGAGTTGTGTATGTGCCCGCTTGTGAATGTGTATGTGAATGTTTGTCTGCAATAGCCCAAGTGTGTATATACAGGTGTGTGGGCCTATGCGCTACCATTTGTTATTCGGCAGTATAAATAATAATACGGCGCTCGCCCAAACATTTGCATTGCTTTGCTTCACATCTGCATTAACTGTGCATCGGCACTTGGCTTGCTCACATCCATATTCCCTTTGTGCGTTTACATTTTGGCGCGCTTTAGTTGCGTCCATGCAGCCACTGGCTCGCTCGCACACACAGCATGCTGCGCTGCTCTGGCTCTCGTTCTTGTTCTTGTTATAGTTTAGCATCTGCATGTGTGCCTGTGTGCTGCGTCTGTGCCCAAGCCACTTACACGCATTCATACGTATACATATACGCATATGCATATGTATGTGTGCGCTGATTCAGCTGAGAAGAAACGCATTTCATCGAAATCTGTAATTTATGCTCGTGTGACACTGGATTTGTTTTCGTTTGACTCACACTTCACATGCGGAATTGCGTATATTGGCATCTCTGAATTCATTAAGCAGCATGAAATTGTGCATATGTATGTATGTGTATGCGTAGGCGTTTTTGCTGTATTAAGATCTACGCTAATATGAAACTTAAACTCCGCTTCGGGCCAGAATCACATCTCTTTTGGCTAAACATATTGAAAATTATTCTTTAATTCGTAATTAGTTGATGTTTATTTGCTTGAAATTTCAAAGTAGATTTACATATAAACAATGTTTGCTAGATCTTGATAGCATTTTTGCTGTAAAATGTTTCTTCTTGTGTTATGCTCAAAACTACATACATATATATGTATAAGGGTTGCAGTTGTGAGCAACGAACGTATCATTCAACTATTTACGCTTACATAAATACGACAAGAGCAACAACAGCAGCGGCAGCGTCACGGCATTGTCGCATGCTACCTGCCTGCACACAAAACACACATACATACACACACACACACACACACACACACACACACACACACACACACACACACACACATACATACACATACATACATACTCATTCGCATGACGGCAGCTGCAGTTTTGTTGCCCTATGGTTCGCTCTCTTGCAGTGGCTGCTTCCTTCCGTTCTCTCGCTCTCTCCCTCTCTCGAACAGCTGTTGTTGTCCTTTGGCGCGCTTTACAGCTACCTTTGCCGCTCCTGCTGTGACCTTTACATTTCCTATCTGGTGCGCAGCCCGCACAATTCGCAGTCGCATTGCGCTCCTCGCACGCTTAACATCAGCCTCGAAGTGTGAAGAAATAGTTTCCCAATTTTTTTTATATTTTTTTTTTATCTCGTTTAATCTGTAACAATTGTGTTCTCTATCAAATCAAATCATTGCAATCGTGACGAAAACTAATTGAAGAATATTTGATTATTGTACGCAGCAGTCAGGAAATCAGCAGCAGTGGAGAGCAGAGCATAAGTGTAGCAGAAAAACACGCAGAAGAACGAATTAAACAGCATAAACATGGCTCAGGAAGGACAGGATATGCCCACATTCAAGTGCGTGCTGGTCGGCGATGGCGGCACTGGCAAGACAACGTTCGTCAAACGTCACATGACCGGCGAATTCGAGAAGAAATATGTGGCCACACTGGGCGTGGAGGTGCATCCATTGATCTTCCATACCAATCGCGGTGCGATCCGTTTCAATGTATGGGACACAGCTGGCCAGGAGAAATTTGGCGGACTACGCGATGGCTATTACATTCAGGGCCAATGCGCTGTCATCATGTTCGATGTAACATCGCGTGTCACCTACAAGAATGTGCCCAACTGGCACAGAGATCTGGTGCGGGTCTGCGAGAATATACCCATTGTCCTCTGTGGCAACAAGGTCGATATCAAGGATCGCAAGGTCAAAGCCAAAAGCATCGTGTTTCACCGAAAGAAAAACTTGCAGGTAAGTTTTCTTTATTTGAATCTTATCGAGCTCAATTTTTTTAAATTAATCGGTTCATTTTCTCTTTTGGCATGAGTAAAAGGCAATAAACTGTGAATTAGACAGAGACGGAGCATTGCCGAAAGGGAAAGAGAGAATGCTGCATAGTCTAGAACAGTCTAGAGATAGATCAGACATATTATTAGAGAATGTGATATATTGTTATCTAGCAACTATTGTGAAACATGATAGAAATGTGTTCGGCTCTTGAATGTTATTAGCTCATATAGTAGAAGCTTATGTTACTGTACCCCTGTTATCCCTTCCTGTCAAACATAATGAAGTCAAGTCGCCAAGTCAGCTCGAATGTGGAGTCTCTAGATTGAATACCAAGAATTACGAGATAAGAGATTAGTTGAATGTATATAAACAGTAATCAGAAATTAAGGCAAGACTTCTGAATCAGGAATACATACAGCAATCATAATATGAGATGTAGATCTAGATGCTATAAATAGACATTTATAAATAGATAATAGATGTGCAGAAAATGTTTCTGGAATCCATTAAATATAACTGTAAATGAATGAGATATATATCGAATCGAAAGCAAGAAATGCATATAAATAAACAGAAATCAGAATCGCAAACCAAATATTGAGAATTTTCTAGTTTTTATATAATGTCAAATGCATTTGTTTTTAAGCAAATCAGATTAGATCAGTAGAATATGTATGGATACTACCATTGAATATGACTAGATAATAGAATCCATAAAAATTGCAAAAATTGTATTCCATATAAGACTAAGCTATATGTTCTATATGCCTTTCCATTTGCTCTACCTTGACTAATTCCTATCCTTTTATCCTTATCTACTTTCAGTACTACGATATCTCTGCCAAGTCGAATTACAACTTTGAGAAACCATTCCTTTGGCTGGCCCGAAAGCTGGTCGGTGATCCAAATCTGGAATTCGTAGCAATGCCGGCGCTGCTGCCACCGGAGGTCAAAATGGATAAAGACTGGCAGCTCCAGATCGAGCGTGATTTGCAGGAGGCGCAGGCGACCGCCTTGCCTGATGAGGATGAGGATCTATAAGCATATTAGTTTACAAATGAATTCAAAACAAAATATAATTGAGAGAAAAAAGAAAAAAAAAAAAAAACCAACTTACAAACTAAGTAAAAAGAAAAAAAGAATAAACGGAAATTTTGGAAAGAACAACAACTAGATCAACATCAGAACAACATAAGCAGAAAATGGAACGCTGGGATTAAATATAAGGAGTTGTACATCGACACTACACACACACACACATACACATACAGCAGCCAGCACACACACATAGAGAGAGAGAAAGTTTGTGTATTACAGGGTTTGTTCCCGAAAATATTATCATGTTGATAATACAGCTCTTAGTTTTTTTTTTTTTTTTTTTCCTTATATATAATCTTAATTTCGGATTTCACTCATTAACTTTTGGTTTGAACTTCGGCTAGCCTCTTTTGTGACACACCCACAAAACTTACGCGTTGGCCAGAAGCTAGCCAAGGAAAATGAGAGAAGCCTAAGAAAGCATGATACCCCAGAAGGCAGAGAATAAAAACAAATAAAACAACAACACAACAATGAAATATTAATTAAGCAAATTGTGGATGGCATCAAATTTTCATCTTAGCTAAATTGTGAAATTTAGAAACCTTAAATAGGTTACACTGCAACAACAATAACAACATCAACAGTAGGATTGACAGCAAAGCACACAAGAACAACAAATTATTAAGATTAAAATGGATGAATATAAAGCTAAGACTAATAAAAGTGTAAACACAAAGAACTTGAATTAGAATTTTGTAACTGAAGCTATTTGATTGGGGAGAACTTTGAATGTATGTAGAACTGTTGTCCAAAGCCCATTGTCTGGGTTTCATTGTAGCAAATATTGATTGATTGTAATTGTATTAGAGATGGGTTTAGAGATTGGTTAATGCAATATGTGTAATTATCCCAGTTTCTATTTAGTTTTACCTTAAGTTAGATGGAAGTGAAGTCTGTATAATCCCTATTTTCTATTTTGCTTAATACTAAGTTGGGTTGTTGCCTGTTCGATTGATGATGATTGAGAGGAACTTGTGCAGCCCAAACACATACTATCTTACGTAACACTAAGTTCAGCTGCTGAAATTGGAAGGACCTAACAACACAGTTCGTATAACACTAAACTTATCACTAGGCTGCTTGATTTATGTAGATTGATTGAAGGAGAGTAGAGAGACTTGTATGAGCTCTTGATTGATGCAGATTGACAGGGTGATTGATTGATTGGCACAGCAAGGACACTTTAAGCAACCTAAACTAAACTCGTACAGACCAAAACATATATTTGATGTAACACTATGTTTATCTCTTGACTGGATTGATTGGAGTAAGAGGAGCGCGTTTTGAGATAAAAGACAAACGTTTTATTGCATATTTGTGTTGAATGCTAAGCACAATTGTGATTGTCTAGCTGTGGATTGATAACTTGATTGATTAACATTGAAATCGATTGATGCAGGCGCAGAGGAGCTGAACGTCTGTCTAGGGGCACTTGACGCAGCAGGCGGGAAAGACGCCCGTGTAGCGCTGCTTGTTGTGGCAGGTGACTTTCTGGTCGCTGCACCTGTTGATCAGACGGATTAGATTAAAGCACTCCCCATAGAGGTATGTATATATATATATCGAAATCTGTACTCACTCCTCGACGACGGTCTTGAACGTGTCCGAGCAGATGGCGCGCTTTAGGCACTTGCCCTCCTTGCCGAAATCAACATAGTCCTGGCCCTTCTTCAGCAACGGCAAATACTTGAGAAACACCGTCTCGTCCTCTGCGTTGCGGTAGGTGCACACCGGTTCGCTCACTGTAGAAAGAAATCGGGATCAATATAGTCCATTAGTTTGACTTTGCTATGGGATCGTGCAGCTCTCGGGTCGGCGGGCCTCACATTTGTGCGACATCACCAGCTGCAACAGCAGCAACATCAGACCAACTATTGCCCAGGCGTGACGCATCTTTTGTTTATTGGATCTTCGGATCGACTAAAGCCCATCGGCTCAACCTGTTTGCTATATATACCCTCAACTAGATCCAGCAACTGATGCGCAAATTTACAATTCTAATTTGCGAAACAGACACACACACACACACACACACACATACACACACACACACACAAGAAAATAAAAGTAACAATGCCAAGCTGCGGCTTTCCAGACTCGAACTGTGCGCTACAAAGAGCTCTATCATTAAGATTCCCTTGTGCTTTTGGGAACAGCTATACTGGAAGGATATTTCTTATTTATATTAAATCTCTTTTAGCAATTTGTATTTGAATTTACAATAATAATAAAAATAAGATTTTTTTTTTTATTTTGGTAAAGTTTTTTGTACCAATCCTAGTTTTAAATAATAGTTTTAAATAAAATTTTTATATAAATATATATATTTTTGATCTATTTTATAATGAATTAATTCAAATTAAATTATAAATTCTAGCTGTGTAGAAATTTATTAAAAGGTTTCATTTATTTTTTTTATTTATTTTTTTTTTTTTTTTAATAAAATATTTTGAAATGAAATCTTTTAATAAATTTCTACACAGCTACAAAAATTCTAATTTTTAATTTAATTTGAATTGATTCATCTTAAAATAGATCAACAAAAATATATATTTATATAAAAAATTTATTTAAAACTAGGAATTTGTACAAAAAACTTTTTTTAATTTCATTTTAATTAATTCATTTTAAAAAAGATTAAAAATTAAAAAAATATAAATATAAAAATTTTATTTAAAACTAGGAATTTTTACAAAAAACTGTACCAAAAAAATGTCTACAATTTTTTTTTTGTTTTTTCTAGAAAATTTGATCTGATGTATTAAAATATTTTCAGTATTTCATTTCATTTTAATAAAGTTGAAAATCTGAAATCTTAATAATTGACCTTAAACCTTAAAAAAATTACGCCAAAACTTAACCTAAATTTTATTTATTTAATTCTCGCTTGAGCCTTTTCAAATGCGATCTTTTAAACTTGGCGTTATTGTATGGTATTACTGATTTCACTAGAATAAACAAAAGCACAGTTAATGGATTTATTTTTTAAGAGATCTAGAGAAAGAATTTTCAAGTCTCTTTCTCTTATAGCTATTGAGATCGACGCGTTCAAACATACGCACAGATAGATAGACTTACAGATGGACAGCGCTGAGTCGACTAAGCTGTCGTCCTTATCCCGACTATATATACTTTATGGGGCCTACCACACCTCCTTTCGGCTGTTGCATAGAGTTCAGTATAAGCAATAATATACTGATTTCCCATTTTCGATGGGTTCTACAGAAGTGCAATCCATTTTTTTCCGACTCAAATATTTTCTGCCTGTTTTTATGGTAATTCTTACTTTGAAAAATAATCATATGCTATTCAAATCTTGTAATAGATGGAATTCTTGGGGTTTAGAGCCCTGGCGAACCGTTTTACAGCGCATTTGGGATCTTAGGTCGTTGGTTCTCCGATCTGGCTCTGATTTGCTGCTAGCACAATTCGCATTTGAATTGTTTAATTGTTCACTATTTAGTCGGTCTCCTTCGGCCGTCCCCTCGGTAGATGCACGACCGCCGCTTGGTCCGCTCAGCTCTGATTGAGTTAATTGCGTTTAAAGTTGATTTTCTGATGCTTTCTTTCCATTCGACTCATCTGTTGAGCTGCCCTTAAAAAGCGTAAAAGTGCAGCCTATAAACACTAATTGAATGAATAATACTTGAACTACATTTGAGTTATTGACAAATAGAGCTGACTTTCAGGGGGTATATACCAGTATATAGCTGAGAGATAAGCGAGGGTGAGTGTCGAATACTATAATATCTCTATTATGCGTGGGGCTTTAGAAGAGTTGACCTTGACATAGATCAGCTGGGAGCGTATTTGATGAGCTCTTACTCTATAATATATTACAAGAAAGATCTTTAATTTGATCGCGCAGTTTCGTATATTCAATTTTCGAATCATCTCCCGGAGAACAGATCTCGCCTATCAATTATTTGATATTCCCTTGGAAAGGCTGTAACTAAGTTTTAAGTATATATAAATAATATTTATATATTTATCATATATAGATGTATTATGCATGTTTCACAATCAACAGCTGTTTCAAGACCAATTGAAAAACTGAAAGTTTATTTTAAGGTATTTGTAATACATAGGTATAAAATATGATATGCGTTTGATATGTTTATCAATTTAAAGGCTTTATGTCATTCGTATCCGGTTTCTGGCAAATCAACTTGGGGCAGCAATGCGGATAAATGCGACTCATATCGGAACCAATTTTACAGTTCTTCTCTGGCACCAGATTGTGTCGACCGCAACTATGAATGAAACATAGAGCATATAGTAGGGAGTTCATTTGAGAGAGAGAGAGAGAGAGAGAGAGAGAGAGATAAAGAAAGAAGGAAAGACGATTAGCAAGAGAGAGAGAGAGACGACAGCTTTGTAGTCGATAAAGTTTAGGTATATTAGTTGAAATGTTTTACAGGTAATACTTGTATTTTAAGAAATATAAATCTAAATAGGTAGATGGATATATTTAGATAGAAATATATAGATAGATAGATAAATAGATATTTAGACACACACATAGATGTTTAGGTAGATACGTAGATGGATAGATAGATAGATATATATAGAGGAAGATAGGAACATTGATAGGTAGATAGATGAAGAGATTGTTGGATAGACAGATGGAAAGATTGATAGAAGGATAGATTATTATATAGATAGATTGATAGATGGATAGATTATTAGATGGATAGATTGATGGATCGATAGATAGAGAGATTGACAGGCTAAGAGATTGATAGATGGATAGATAGACTAATAGATTGATAGATAGACTAATAGATTAATAGATGGATAGATTAATAGATAGATAGATAGAGAAAGACAGATTGGCAGAATGATAGATAGATACATAGACATACATAAACCGTCTTTCCCACATACATAGATGTACATATAGAGTTATATATAATATTATATATGATGATATTCATATACATATGTAGTACGTCATATAAAAAAGTATACATGATATATCATGTATGTATAAATACGATGTATGACTTTGATATACAGCCTTGCATATATAAGTAAAACAAGACTATATTACAAACACATCTCGTATATAGGGGACTTACAATTCAATTTCCAGCACATAGTCCGGTCGACAGAAGAAGGACTTGCAGTGGCCCTCGCGGTTGATGGGCTTGTAGGACTGGTACTTGGGTATGGGCTGCTTCAGCTCTTCAAAGTAACATTGTCCCGGATAATCTAAATAGATATTATTAGATCTCCATCTCTCATTCTCCCTCTCTCCCTCTCTCTCTCTCTCTCTCACCTGGATGTATGGCACTGGGGCGATATCTGAGATCGGCAGTGCAATCGGCACAGAGCAAAGCCAACAGCAGCAGAGGCAGCAGCAGCATTTCGATGCCATGAGAGCCAATGCCCCAACCAGATCTTATGGGTATTACCACCATGGCAGCGAACACAAAGCCAAAGGATGGAGGCAAAGATAAAGTTGTTCAGCGGACGCCGAACGTGCGACTGAGTCAATTGCAATTAATTGTTGTTGCTTTTATATAAAATTAATTAATAAAGCTCGGCTGTAACTGTATCTGTGTATCTATGTATCTCTGTCGCTGTATCCGAATATGGGGCATACATACATATGCTGTAGCTTTTGTCTTTCTTGTGTCATTGTTGTTGTTGTTGTTGTTGTTGTTGTTGCTTTTGATCTAGTTTGCATTAATTAAGCACAAGCCGCCAGCCCTGAAAGCGAGAGTCCATTGAAGCGGGGGCGTCAACAACTAAATATACTACTTGAATGAGTGAATACTACGAGTGAGCGAGGTTGGCATGCGCGACGGGCAGATACCCTGCACGACCAGGGAGATCAAAGAGAGCGAGAGAGACAGAGAGAGTGAGTCTAACTGAAATGTAGTTGATATACCGAATTGAGCAAAAGTTCAGCCAGCGGGCCTGCTCGACTTGCCGATACCCTGTAAAGAGATATAAGCTCGTACAGAACATACGCCATATGTATTAAAACTGTATAATAAACGATTTCTACCATATCCAACTACAGCAGAGCTAAGCCAGTGGACATACTCGACTAGCAGATACCCTGCAAAATAGACAAAAGCATCTTAAATCAACTCTCATTGATTACAAAGCATCAAAAAATGTATTTACTTTAAGAAAAATAATAAGCTAGAGTAAAACTAGAGGGCATAGTCGACTATTAGATACCCTGTTAAATGTAGATGGCTCGTACAACGTGGTTTTCATTTATGAAAACTGAGAGCTAACTACTATCTTGAATTGAGCTAGAGCTGAATTGATATGCCCGACTAGTAGATACCCTGTTGGGAGAAAAAAGTTGATTAAGTAGGCTTTGATTGATTATAAAGCAAACCAAAAAGTTATTTACCATTAAAAAATAAAATTGACATAGTCATGCTCGACTATGAAATACCCTGTTACATGACAATAGCTCACTAAAGCGTAAGATAATGATTGAAGTGCAATGTAAATCACCTAGAGTAGAGTAAATCATGACGCATCATGCTCATTAGCATGATCGTCTTCCAGGCATCTCATTTAATGTGAGAGTTTGTTAGATCTTGGATATAAACGAAATCGAGATAAACTTGAGCAAGCGATGCAATATAGAAATAAGCTCGACTAACAGTTGCCCTGTTGCTCGCCTTCAGAATGATTAAATACAGGTTTTATTTTCAACAGACCTCACTTGATTCGCTTACACCGCTTATAGAGGCATAACGGGCATATATGGTGACTATATGTTAAATAAATGAAAGCGAAAATCTGTATAAAAAAAAATCATTTAGAGCCAAGTCAACTATGGCGGGAAAAAAGCTAAATTGGCTGCACTGCCGCTGTCCCAGTTGCTTTGCCAAGGTCAACCAAGTCTTATCAGCTTTATTTATATATGTTTATATATAAAGTATATAAACATATGCGTACCTTGATTTTCGACTGTTTAATTTTGAATGGGATTTACAAGTATAAACGCCCATTGAGCTAACTTTTGGTATAGCTCTGGCCTTGAAGAAGAAAGCTGAGGCTGCAGAAAAAAGGGGAATGAACAGCAAGGCTGATATAAATAGAGCGTATGAAGAGGGGGAGCGAGAGAGAGAGAGAGAGAGAAAGAGAGAGAGAGAGAGAGAGGGAAAGGCTCTATTTTATAAATCATAGTCATTCTTCTGTCTCTTGCGCAAAAGCCTATATACCCGTTCTAGCCAATTATTAAGATCTTTGGGTATAAAACAGCAAAAAAGAAAAAACAACAATGGGAAATCCGGCATCAATAACAGGTCGATGAGAGAATAGAAAAAATGCTCAAAGTTTTATTATGATTTATAGGCATTCATCACCCGAACAATGTGAATGTACATACATACATATACATATATGTATATAGATATACATATAAGTATATATTAGTATATATTTATAGAATAGGTATCGTACAAATTGTTTGTTAAGAGAGTTAGGGAGACGAAAATGCAAATGTGTTGTGTGAATATAGAAACTAATAGATTTAGAATAGATCTAGAGAGTATCAAAGAGGGAAAGAGAGAGCAAGATATAATAAAAATAATCAATAGTCGAGTATTGACAGAATTATGAGTAATCTGAATTGTTCAAATTGTCCCTCCCTCTCTCGCTCTCTCGCTCTCTCCCTCTCTCTCTCTCTCTCTCTCTCTCTCTCTCTCTCTCTCTCTTAGTCTTTGCCTATTTTGTATCGGTATTTCTCTATTGTCTCTCTCTTATATCTCACTTTCGATTTGTGTGTCTTTACTTAGCTCTCTCTCTCTCGCTTCATATCTCTCTCTTTCTCTCTCTCTCTGTCTCTCTCTCTCTCTCTCTCCCTAAACCTCTTCTTATCTATGTCTCTACGTCTCTGCCTCTTGCCCTCTCTTTTGCTGTCTTTATAATTCCTTCTCTGTCTCTCTCTCTCTCTCTTTCTTTCTCTCCCGTTATCTGTCCTTACGAGTCTCTCTTAGACTCTCTCTCCACTTTGTCTTTCATTTAGTCTCTCAGTCTCCCTCTCTCTTTCCCTCCCTTTATCTATCGCTCTCTCTTTTTCTTTCTATCTCCATCCATTCTGTCTCTCTCTGTCTCCCTCTCACTCACACGCATTCTTTCCCTCTCTTCTGCTTGATTCATAAACTAGAAACTATTTTATGCAAACAAACACAATAGAATTATCAAAAGGCTAAGGCCCAGTGAGCATTACGAGACTAAACCGTGTTACATTATATTTTATACTATATCCATATACGTATACCTATACACACAAAGATACATATGTAAACAATATTTTCGCAACAAACAAACAAAACTCGGAGAACAGCAGCAAATTAAAATGAGAATGAGAAAAACAAAAACAAAACGATTTAAAGAGCCGATAAGTTGAGCTGACGATGCTCAGTGTCACATCTGTTGCCTTATAAAGCGAAAGTTCCCACTGTCGAGCCGCAGCTGAGCTGGAACTTGAAGATGCGCAAACTGGAAATATGCTGGATTCCAATTGGAATATGCCTAATGCTGGCGGGCGAGCTGCAAGGCTTCAGCACACAGTACAGGGGCAATACGAAGCATCCGAGTGAGTCTCTGGATCACAGATCATATGTATATATGTATGTATGTATGTATATTTATGTATGTATATCCACTTTAGCTCTACCGGAGCATTGCTTCTATGCGGAACTGAAGCTGGCCGTGCCCCGCAATGGAACCGTCTATCCCGTCGATGTGTTTGACTTTTGCGCCAAGGTCTATTGCCGGGAGGACTATGTGCTCATGATCAAGCAGTGAGTCGCGGCATCTATAGGCTACTATATCTTATATCTAATCGACTTCTATATATCTTTAGCTGTGATCGCATGCAACTGGCGGACGGCTGTTATTTCACGCCCAACGACTATACGAAGCCTTATCCGGATTGCTGTGCCATGCGCATCTGTCCAAGCCAATGATGATATATCCCCTATCCAATTAGAATCTATGTATATATGTATATTATATTATACAAATTATATTTATATTACAAAATAACAGGACTTCAAAGACTTTTAAAGTGAACATTCCAATTGAATTATATCTAGGCACATAGATCTTATTGGATGTGTGTATAATTTCTCTTATAGGTTCTATCTATTGGCAATTTCTATTGAATTGACCCGATAATTGCTAATCCAATTGAGTTTACCCTACATTAAAATAAGCTGTAAATTATTTATATTCATTAATCAGGTGCTAATTGGAGGTGATTAGAAGTCTCAAACTGTATTTAAGCGATTCCGTGTTATTGAACGACACAATTCCAATTAGAATAAATGTGCAACTGATCAAATTAGTTCAACAAATTATTTTTGGTATTCCAATAACTGAACTTATATTTTCCAATTGGAAACCTGATTATATATTGGATATAGCCCAAAGAAGTGCATGTAAATTGAATTGACACATTTAGCTTAAAGCTAAGTGACAAGCGGTTGGCTCTTCCAATTGGCGTGCCATTGTCTGATTAGATGAGTGACAGACAGACGCAGGCAATTGAGTAGAATTGTAAAGCTCGCCTGAGATATCTCGAGAAACGCTCAAATCTGACACAGAAAAACGCATTTTTAATGGGCATACAAATAGGTAAATATATATGATGCGAAGATCATGTGAAAGATGTCCAATTGGAAGTATATATACACACACATATACAGGTAAATTTCAAATTTCAGTGCGAGACTTCGAGGTACCGAACTGTAAAGGAAATACCCAAATTTAACAACAGATGGCTTCCATAGAAATATTATGGATTTTTAATCTATATAAATCTATATAAATCCGTTTCAATAATTTGTTTTTAGTCGCAATAAAGTCTATCAGCGACTCGAGCGACCTCTGCTAAATCGTTGCCCAGGTCAGAGATGCTAATCAATCTGATAAACCAGACACTATATAGCTGATAGCTCTAGAGCTATATAATTGACGGAGCTCGAAGGCAGATCATGCAGTTTCAACTCAAATTTTGAGCTTTACGTTAACTATTTCCCATTATGAAGACGGAGACAATTGTCCTGCTTATTGTGGTGCTGGGCGCCCACTCGCTGCTGGTGCTGGGCGGTAAGTCGTGGCTGAGTTGCTCTTCAGGATTTCAATAAACCTACATACATATATGGATTACATTCTTATTAGATTGCCTATTTGGTGGAATGAATTTGAAGGCGGAGGAGAGCTATTCGCTGCCAGGAGAGTGCGTGCAGTTCACCTGTCAGGCAGGTGGTGCTATGACGGGCAAAATGTAAGTGAACTTTTGTGCACAACTGTATGTATACCCTGTAAAATTTGTTTCCCTCTGATAGCTGCCCATCAGTGGGCAGTCTAAGATGGCCCTGCAAGATGGTCGAGGATACCAAAAAACCGTTTCCCCTATGCTGTCCGTACATCGATTGTGGAGAGAAGGATTTAAGACTATAGAGAAGGATACAAAATTAATAAATGCAAAAACCGTAACATTTTCAAAAGTTTCATAATCAACAAGTCTGGCTACACGCAACGATTGTCACAATGTCGATAAGTTCTGTTAGATCGAATGGCCTCAGTTTCGATATGTTTTGATTGCATATTGCACGAATGCACTAAAAAATACCGAATCACAAAAATGATTTAAATAACAATGCCAAGATGTTTTTTTGCCAAATTTGAATTGAATAACTGAGATATCATGCATTTATCTGTCAAAAAGACGATCTGTCAGCACGCCTAGGCCCAAATGTCTGAGCTTCTATTTAGTTTCCATTGTAAATTCGTAAAGGAAATTACTTTTCATAGTTTTTCATTTTTTTACAAAACCAGAATTTTTTTTTTAAATTTGTAACCGTAAATAAGTTTCGAATTTTAACAAAACAGATACAATTACCATTAAAATTACACCAACAACATGTGTCTTGACTGCAAGTCCTAAAAAGGTAAATACAAACTCTTATATATTATCTGTATTCTTTGCTTTTATTTTATAAAAACCAAAAAAATCAGTTTATTCGATTCTTCGGCTTGGTATACACGCTTGAACTTATTATATATGCTCGTATATAGATATATCTGTATATATATATATGTATATATGATTTGCAGACAGATCCGTACTCTATATAACAAATGTATATTATGCATATATGGGCATCTATATATATCTAAAATATCCGTGCAATTTGTCCTGATGTATATGCATACATACATATATGTATGTATATGTATGTATGCATGTATGCATTTCGAGTGTCCTATTTTTAAAGCTGTACAACATCAACGTTTGGAACACACAATACACGCAGGTGAAACTTAGCCTAGGCTTATGCATAAGGATATATATATGCATATAGATATAGCTATATATATATGCATATACATATATATTTATATATATATCGAAAATGCGAAGCTATTTGTGGCTCGCTTCAAATCTGTATACATATATGAGATATATACTTATATATATATTGTATATAACATACACACATACATATGTATATATATATAACCTGAGCTAGTCTAAACATTTTTAACTATGGTCCGACGGCAATCCATTTGCCAATTTTGTAGATCTTCGAAAGAAACAAAACAAAATAAAAATAATGCAAGAACTAAATTGAAAACATAAAAGAGTTAGAATTCGCTATTGTTTAATAATGAAATATTATAATCATAATAGTTTTACACTTAAATAATAATTGAAAGCATTAATCAGTTAAAGCTAACGAGCGCAGTCAATAGCTCGCTATCCGTCACTTTAACAAATTACTTTTAGCAGGCACAGTGAAAGCAAATATCATAGCCAAAACATCGACGGCCTTGAGCATGCTGTGCTTGGAGTCGATTTGGTCACGGATCGATCTCAAATAGACGACAACATCGCTCAAGGTTCTCCTTCGATTCATGAAATTGCAACGTAAAAGTAATAGAAGAAGGAAAGAATAGAATCGTTACAAGAGTCTGGTCACACTTAAATGCTAGATTCCTTTTCACCATGCCCATGTTGAGTGCGTGTCTTGTGTAGTGCAATGTAGAGTTCTCTGATTGTAGTGTTGTGTGTAGTAATCTAGTGTGTAGCTTAATCGGGTGACTTTAGCTGCGGCATGCCGCACTCCTCCTCCTCTCATTGACGGGCCGCACGCTCCGTTTCCATGAGGCACTCGCGCACCAGGATGCGGGCATGGACAATGCCACGCTTCAGTCGCTCCGTCGAGCTTCGCGATCCCGTATATGTGGGACGTATATCACGGCCCATCTCCTCGATCACCGCCAGCAACTGGGCGTACTTGCTCAGGCCATTGCTGCCGACACTGCCCGCTGCCGGCAGATTGGCGGTGGAGGTCAGCGGTGTGGTGATGTTCGCCGACGTCTGAGTGGTCACCACTGCCGGCGACGTGGATGGGGGCGGGTATTTGAGCTGGGATTGTGTCAGATTCAGGCCGAGATTAAGGTTAACAGCATTCCCATTGCCGTTTGCATTGCTGTTGTTGTTGATGTTATTATTGTTACTGTTGTTGTTATTGTTGCTATTCGTGCCGGTGCTAGAGAGATTGCGACCATTGCTGGCCGCTGCTATGTTGGCCAGGGATAGAGCCGCCGCCGCTGCTGCAGCGGCAGAGGAAGCGGACGGCGTGGCAGTGGTGTTCGATTGCTTCTGGAGCAGGGCGAGCTGAGCCTGCAGAAATTGCGGCGAGTATTGCAATGCGGCAACGGCGGCCGCAGCAGCTGCGGTTGCTGCAGCGCTACTCGATGCATTTCGATCACGTTTACTGCCACCGCCGCCGCTGATGGCGTTGCTATTGCCGCCGTTGTTCACATAGTCACTGTTGCTGGCAGCGCTGCCAGCGCTGTTGTTGCCGCCGCTGCGCGAATGATGTATAGCAGAGATTTGAATTTGTGGCTGCTGCTCGCGCTGTTCGCGCTGCTGCTGATAGTTGTAGAAATTTTGCACCTGCGAGCGCGGTATTGGTGTCACTGTGACGTCACTTAGCTTCGATTCGACAGCCTGTATGTCCATGATGTCCATTCTGCTGCTTCGCTGCTGTTGCTGCTGCTGTTGGTATTGGTATTGCAGTCAATTGCTAGTGCATGTCATTTAGTTAATCTTAATTGTTAGTACTAACCGTATACGATTTGCAAATGAGACGCGTTTTATGTTGTGCAAAATTTTTACGCTTAGATTTTTCGTTGCAATAATTTACGCTTTCTACGCACAAACAAATCTATTGCAACCACCACAAACAAACATGTACACAGGGTTAGCGTTTTTTCTGATATCGGCATATCGATATATATTCGTGTATGCACTTGTCGTTTTATGAAATGCCGAGAAATACCAAAACATACCAGACGTCTTGTTAAGCAGCTGTTGCACTTAAAGTTAGTTGAATTGACTTGAGTATGCATATGTAAAGACTTCTATTGCTAGTCCTTTTTAAAATGCTTCGAAAAAATAATTGTAAAAATAATGCTTACTTTTGTTGCGTACGCATTTTATATACTTATTTGATTCTAACGGACAGCCGTGTGTCGGCGCACCAGTGCTGTAAAATACACGCTATGACTGGCTGGCACTAAAAGAAGAGAAAGAAAAAAAAAAACAATGGCGAAGCAAACTCTGAACTAAAATTCTGTTGTTGACATCTGGTCGCTTTGTAAATTAATTTCGAACACACTCTTGTGATATCTAGTTGTGATTAATTCCAAAAAAATATTAAAAAAGAATCTTTTAGTAATTTTATGGATTGTGCTATTAAATAGTTTTTGAAGACGAAGCAGCGCGTGTGTTCAAATCAGCGAGTGTGTCGAGGTGAGCGTATATTACACGTTGTATTTGGTGCAACGCCATCCGCCGCCGCTGTTTCAGTCGCAGTCGCAGCAGAAATAGAAGTTTTGCAAAATTACAATTTCATTTCCGCGTATATGATAGAGATATGCGTGCATGTATTTATGTGTGTGTTTGTTCGTGTGCATGTGCATGAAAGCCCTGATGGCCTGTGAAGCCCAATGTCTTTTGCTACTGTCAATATGCATATGTATGTGTGTGTGCGAATACGAATGTTTTTCTATGTGGGAGCCGCAGCCGTCAGCTACTGCATGACGTAAAGCTATTGCTACTGCTACTGCTGTGGCCGCAACAACAGCGTAACAAGACACATACATACTTATATACATATGTAGTTTATAGAGTGTGTGTGAGTGTATGTGTAATTAGCAACGTAAAGCTGCTGGCATTGATTAGCGGCTGTTTTGAGTGTTTTTGGCACTTTTACACGCGCCTTATATGCATATATGCAGGCATGCATGTATGAGAGAGCCTGCCTCTTTGTGTAAGTGTGCAAGTTACAAATGTATGTGATGCGTGTGAGTTTGTGTCACTGTCGCTATGTGCCGCATACGTTAACAGTGTTGCACAACGCCGCTCTAAGTGCATGCAAAAATCAAATCGGCGCACAAATCACAATTGGGCAAAGCCTAACGCCGCGTCGCTGCACATAAATTTACCAACATACATACATGCATATGTGTAATTCTGTGTGTGTTAGTGACTTGAAAATCTGTGTATGTAAATGCATATGTTTTATTTTGTTGCTGTTATCGATAGCGAAGCGACAGTTGGGCATTTGAATTTTGTGTGAAAACATATACAAAAGCACGCACACGCACACATGCAAAGGCGCGCTGAGCGACGCCGTTTATTTTGCGACCTCGACATAGAAGAAGCCAACGCCAAAGCCAAAGCCAAAGCAGTAGTCGTCATTCCGTAGCAGCGGCAGCAGCAAGGCGGCAAACAGCAGCAGCCATTTTTGATATATTGCTGTCTCGCTTCAGCATTTCGAACGTTGTTATTTGATTTTTAGTTTTTTTATTGTTATTGTTGTTGGAAACCAAGCAGCAGCAGTTGATGTGAGTAAGCGTTGACTGCACTGTCAGTGGAACACAACGTTCAGCAGCATTTGACAATTTGCCTCATTTTCGACTTTTGTACGACCGAACACAATAGAAAATATTTCAAAAAAAAAAAAAAATTTTTTTTATATATTTCTAAATTTATAACATTTACAATTCAAGAAAACAAAATTAAGTTTAAATAATTCAAAAAAAGTAATATTTCGCTTAACGGAGTCTGATAAATTGTTTACTCCAATATATATAAATAAGTATGTGTGTTTACGTTTATAGATAATATTGTTAATATAAATTTCTATTCTATCCATGCAGAGAACGATCTAAAGGGAGAAATAAGACGCACACACAATAATCGCGAATCTGGATTTGGATTTAAAATTGATATAAACAACAGCAACAACAAAATATTTATATATATAAAAATCGCAGCAAGGTCTTTAGTAGAAGGCTGAGCAAGTATTAAATACATCAACACAAACAAGAAGAAGACGAACATCATCATCTACAACTGTAAGACCATTATCAATGGACATGATCAACATCGGGCAGAGCGTTAAGATCAAACGCACCGACG